AAGTATTAAAAATATTTAGAAGTATTATTTCTACTCAAAGACTTTTTAGTATTTTTATTTTTAATTATTCTGAGAATAAACACACATTATGGGACATATATTTGAAATAATATAAAACTGTTGTTATAAGAGTAACTGAGAACAATGAAATAATGAGAATATATAAATGGGTAGTGAAGAATTGAATAATCATCTTTAGAGTTTTAAGAGAGAAGGTATTATCATAATAATTTCTAACTTTTAAAAATGTCTCTTTATTTAAAGATTGAACTAATAAAAGTATGAAATTAATTCCTTATGACTAGATTATTTAATACATTGGAATTGGTTTATAAGATTATGAATGAGTTTATGAAGTACATTGACTAGCATTAATAGTTTGGAGTTAAATAACAATATTTTGAAATACATTTAATAAGTTATATTCATCTTTTTTAAAAATTGAAAAAAAAAATAATAATAACCAGAAAAAATGGAATAATTGAGTTTGTTCTTTATTTAATTTATCTTCAAAGAACAGGAAATATACGGTTGATATTATAAAGGAATGTCTTGATAATTTGATTTCTTCTTCATTAATTTTACTATTATAATGATACTAATTCCAAGTAATACTACTAAAACAACTCCAAGTAATATCATTATTATACTATGATTACTTGAATGTATTTCAATATTTTCTTTAGGTATTTCTTTTATTGGATGTTGTTTAGTTTGTGTTTTATTGAGATGTTCACTACTTTTAATTAATTCTTTCTTTTCAGATGTTGTAACATTTCTTATTTCTTGGTTTTTCTTCTGAATTGATTTTTCGAAATCTTTAACCAGTTGTTTCTTCTTCTTGTCTAATTCTTTCTTAATATCTTCATTCTTTATTTTTTTGTTATTTTTGTTTTTCTTTATTTGTCTCTTTTGGTTTCTTCGCTTCCAAAAAATTGGAGATCGTGTAAACCGCCTTCGACGGAAGAATGGTCTTAGAATGAAAAACCTTCTCCTAAATTGCCTATTAGCCCCAATTCTATTTATTTGCACCATCACATTTCCTCCATCATTCTCATCATTCTCTTCAACTCTTAAATAAACCCACCTTGATTGATTTTTTCCTCTTATTGTTATTCTCTCATTTCGTCCATTTTGACATTTTGCTCTTTCAACTGAAATACTTTCCCCTTTGCAATCTTTTAGTACTTCAATATGAGCTGATCCTGTACTTTGCCAGCTACAAGTATTAACACTAATAGTCCCTCTTCTTGGTACAAATACTTTATACCATACAGATCGTTTGTATCTCTTACTACTCTTATTTAATGTCTTTTTAGTTCTAATGAAATTAATTTTATCTGATAAAAACATATTATTTGACACCCTTGCCTTATTACATTCATTATTATACATTTGATTTTTATCACTAAAACTTTCTATAGAATATCTGTCAAGCATTTGATAAAATCGTCTAATGTATTTTCCACCATTTCCTCTTCTAATTACTTGACTATTAATTTGTTTGTTCTTTCTCATTCCTGGCAGTGCCGTTACATGGACAAATACATTCCCATCATATTTTCCTTTAAATCGAATTACTCTACCATTTTCATTATTACATTTCATAGTCTCATATTTAATTGGTTTGCCTCCACAATTATCAAATAATTCTATTTTAACTGGCACTCTTGTATATGAACTACATGTAGTGATAATTCTCTCTTCTCCTTTGTTTACTTTCAGTCTATACCATTTTTGTCCATTCCCTTGATAATATCTTTCTCCTAATAATGGTGTAGAATCAGGACAAGTTATACCTCTATTTTGTGGCATTTTCACAATTACTTGATTTGAACGAACACGCATAACAGTCCGTGAATCATTGTCCAATCCTTTTTCTTCATTTCTTGAAATAATTGTTACACTAATTGTTTGATGAGGTTGAACCACGTGACGAAGTTCTGCTAAATGAGATTTTGATATTGTTTTGATGATACACTTATTTTGGGTATATAAATATACTTCTAATTTATTCGGTGGATTATTATAAAAGTCTAACCTCAACTTAACTCTTCTTGCTGAGGTATTTTTAAAAACATGAATAACACCTTTATGTTTTCCTTCATGGCAAGGAGATTCAACCAATTGTTGAAATGGTGGAGATAAAATAACTGTTTGCATTTTATCTCCTGACAAGAGTATTGGTGAATAACTTGTCGTCACAAATTGTAATAAAACCCCAATTAAAATGAGAAGAACAGTTCTCATTTCCTTTTAAATCTCTTTTCAAGTTCTATTGGCAGATTTTTTATTTTATAAAAACAAAATTTGATGTTAATAAGTGTATTAAAAAGGAAATAAAAGCAAAAAACTTACTCATTCATCAGACACTTAGTTTTTGTTATCTTTTAATTGTTTGTTACCAATTTTTTGTATTAGAGTTATCATCATCACTAACAATCTGTTCTGGCAATAGTTCATCTTCATCATCTAAAGGACCAACTTGTTTAGCTAACAAATTTGCAAATTCAAAAACATCACCTTCGGCATCCTCAAATGCTTTATTAACACAAGCATCATCAATACCTAATGATGGAATTTCCAATTGACCCTCAGTCATTACTTGTTTAGTTCTTCATATGAAATTTTCTTATGTGATTAATAACAAAAATCAATCTCCTTTTAGATGACGAATCACCAAATAGGTCCACGTTAAGGCATAATTTAGAGAATTTAGATGTAATTTAAAGGAAAAATAACCACATTCTTTTTGAAGGACACAAAAAAGAAAAATTCAAGGAAAGTAGTAATCAATAATCTGACTAACAGAAACCCCTATTTATGCATAGATGAACTGAACTACAAATTATTATGGCAGCTACTCAAGAAAAGAAACCACAACTCCCACCAGTCGTTCTTTTGAAAACACCAGAGCTTGTCTCAGGTGAAAATTTCAAAGTTATGCCAATGCACCAATCTCAACCATGTTATAAAACAGGATTGAAATATACTGAAATTGAAGAACTTGTTCCAGCTATTGCAGAACAAAAAGTTACTATTAGAGCACGTGTTCAAGCTGTAAGAGGTAAAGGAAATATGGTATTTTTATTCCTTAGAAAAGGAATTTATACATGCCAAGCTCTTGTTATGAAGTCAGAAACTATTTCTAAAGAATTTGTTCAATTTTGTCAAAAAATTTCAGCTGAATCAATTTGTGACATTACTGGTATTGTCAAAGCTGTTGAAAAGCCAATAGAAAAAGCTACTCAACAAGATGTTGAAATTCATGTTACTTCAATTGCAGTTGTTTCTCTTGCAGAATATCCACTTCCAATGCAAATTGAAGATTTAACATTCCCAAGTTCTGTTTTTAAGAAACAAGAAGAAGATATTGCTAAAGTTGATGAAAAAATTGCTAAATTTTTGAAGGATAATGAAGGAAAAGATCTTACAAAGAGACCATTAAAAGATGAATACGCTAAGTTATTAAAAGAAAAGGCTTCAGCACAAAAGTATGTTAAAGTATCACAAGATACTAGATTAGATAATAGAATGTTAGATTTAAGAACTGTTACAAATATTGCTATTTTCAGAATTCAATCAGCTTGCTGTGGATTATTCAGAGAATTTTTAACTTCACAAAAATTTGTTGAAATTCATACACCAAAATTGATTGGATGTTCATCTGAAGGAGGAAGTAATATATTTGAAGTTAAATATTTTGATAGAAAGGCATATCTTGCACAATCACCACAATTATATAAACAAATGGCTATTATGGGAGATTTCCGTAAAGTCTTTGAAGTTGGACCTGTTTTCAGAGCTGAAAACTCTAATACCAGAAGACATTTAACAGAGTTTGAAGGACTTGATATTGAAATGGAAATTGTTGAAAATTATCATGAATGTATTGACGTTATGGAAAAGTTATTTACCTTTATTTTTGATGAAATTCCAAAACGATTCCCAGATGAACTTAAAGTTATTAGAAAACAATATCCATTTGAAGACTTAATCTATAGACCCTTCTTAAGATTAACTTATAAGGAGGCTATTGAAATGTTAAGAGCTTCTGGAGAAACTATTGGTGATTATGATGATTTCACCACCCCACAAGAAGTTAAGCTTGGTGAATTAATTAAAGCTAAGTATAATACTGATTTCTATATTCTTGATAAGTTCCCAGCTGCTATTAGACCATTCTATACTATGCCAGATATTGATGATCCAAATTATTCTAATTCTTATGATGTCTTTGTCAGAGGTCAAGAAATTACTTCAGGTGCTCAACGTATTCATGACCCAGAATTCTTAATGAAAAGATGTATTGAAAAGGGTGTTGATCCAGCAACTCTTAAAGATTATATTGAATCATTCAAATTTGGATCATGGCCACATGCTGGTTGTGGTATTGGACTTGAACGTATTACCATGCTTTATCTTGGTATTCCTAATATTCGTAAAGTCACATTATTCCCTCGTGATCCAATCAGACTTAATCCATAAACTAATTTAATATTGTTATGGCTATATTAATTTTTGTATTTGTTTTAAGAAAAAAGTTAAAAATTAAAAAAGTTTTAGAGAATTACTTATTTTTTCATTTTTCTTAAGGCATAAATTCCTCCAATTACTGTTGCTGCACCAACACCAATCATTACTATTTCATTACAAGTTGGTTTTCTCATTATACCTTTTATATAGTCAAGAAGACTACAAGCACTTCTCCATAATTTTCTTGTCCAAATATTTAAGAAAGTAACTTGTGAAACTTGGTAGTTGTTTTTGTCTATAACCTCTTCTACTTCTTCAGTTTCTTCATCATCTTTTTGTTCTTGAACAAGATCAGTATTTAAGACATTTTCAAGTTGAGTCTTAATTTCATTTTCCCAATCTACTTCTTTTAATATTTGTGTTATTAATTGGTTTACTAATTCAACAATTTGAGGATTAGAAGTATTATCTAATTTGATTCCTTTTAAAGTATTTATCATTTTTTCAACACTTTCTTTTTCTTCACTTAGCTCATTTATTCTCTTTTTTTCAATTAAGTAATGAGCTGAAAAAGTAGCAGCATCCTCTATCTTATCATTAAGAACTAAAACATTAATATACATTATAGCAACATTACTTGAAGCATCACTTATTTTGCTGTATAGTTGGTCGAACATTTTTTTAATTTTTTCATATTCACCAGTATTTGACATAGCATGGAGATAATGAATAAACACATTTTCAACTTCTTTTGATTGTTTTCCTGTGACAACAATATTTTTAAGGTATAGCTCACATAATTGAATTGTTTTATTGATATCATTTTCAATTATGCTTTGATTAATTGCTTCTTCAGTTATTTGTTCCATTTTGATTTTTAAGATTATTAATTATAAAGATTATTTTACGATTTTCTTATCTTATTGAATGTGCAATTGTTGCACCTTTGGCTTATTAAAAAAAATTAAACATCATTATACTTAATTCATTTAGTTTGTTTTCTTTCTTTCATTAATTCTTCACAAAGTGGTTTAACAGTAGAAATTGGTTTTTCTGGCATAGACGTAAAGAACTGATGAAGATCTAATCCAAATTTTTTTTCATACTCATCTGCTTGAATGCACATTTCTATCTTATCTAATTGTGCACAAAATTGAGCAACTTCTGTCTTTTTCTCTTCAAATTCAATCCAACAATTTTTAATCTCTTCACCAATTTCGTTTGGTAATAATTTACTCATTTCTGTGATTGCATTCTAAAAAATTAAAACTTAACACCGTTATAAGGATATTCTTTCTTAACAAACTAATTCTCGTTTATGTTTTTCTTCTGGAGTGACAGGGTCATTTGGTGTTATATCTCCAATAAGTGCCTCTGCCATATCATGACATAAGGATACCATAATTGCATGATTTCTATCTAAATGACTTGGACAAAAAATCATAGCCAAAATAGCCATACGATACATATGATCACTAATACTTTCAGGATTAGGAACATTGTTATAAACCCATCCTGTTCTTGGGATATGTTTTAGGTCATTCATTAAATGAAGGAATTTCATTATATTTTCCATCGTTTCAATACTTCTAAAGATTTGAAGATTGTCTCTTTTTGTTTCAGAAAAAAAAGAAAATAAAGAGAATAAGTTAATTAATTAATTTAAAAAAATGAAAAAACCACTAAACAACAAAAGCAGGTAAGAATGATAAGTAGTTGTGATTGAGATAATCCAACAACAGCAAAGAACAATAGTTTAATAGTGTCTAATATAGACAATTGCCATACTGAAAATACCATGAATAAGGCTAGTATAGTAAATGCAATAATACTTAAAGTTAATGATTTACAGAAATTCATTCTAGTAAATTTCATTATTAAGAATGAAATAAATAAACATAATAAAACACTAATTAATACATCCCATCTCATATCATCAGTAATAAGATCAAGTTGACGTTTTAATAATTTAAAATAATATTGTTTTGTTGGACCAACAGAATATTTTTGGTAATGATTTAAGACAACATCTTTCATTGTGATAGCTACTGACTTTGACTTATCTTTAATAATCATTAATGATTCTTCCATAACACCTGAATTAAAAGAATGGCTTTGTTGTTCATTAGAAAATATATATAATTGAAATGATTCATTGATAGAATTAATGAGTTTAGTACGTAATGATTGTGTTGATAAAAGATTATCTAATCCATACATTTGTTTATCAAATAAAGAAAGAGATTCATTAGCATATAATTCCTTCTTTTCTTGAATATAATCTAAATCAGCTGGTAATACAATAGCTCCCATACGTTGATTATATTTATCTAAAACTTCTTTTAAAAGACTTTCTCCAAAATATTCAGCAATATGAGAAACTAATGGACTTATTTTTTCTTTCATTAATTCATTGATAAAATTCTTAGCATAATTTGCATATTGTTCACCTGTAACTATTTCATGTAATTTGAATGGTTCAGATGTAAAAATCCATTGTTTTAATTCTTCGATTTTATTACGATATTGTTGATTAAGTATATCATATTTAATATTATCTAAATTAGTAAATTGATAATGATCATCAATAGGTTCAGGAAGGACAAATAGTCTTTGAACAGGGAAGAGTTGTTTAATAGTTTGAATAATTTCATTATATTCAGTTATTAATGGTTCATTATCAGGGTTATCTTTTTCTTTTAAGAAATGATTAAAAAGAAGATCGTGTTCATTCATTTTCATGACTTGATTATAATCTTCTACAACCCAAGTCAATATTGGAAAATGGAATGAAGAGATATGATGTTGATGATAATATTGAGCTAATTGAGACATCAATGATAAAGATAATACATCATTAAATAATAATTCATTTCTAACATTAATAATTAAATGAGAACTTCCCATTAAACCAAATAAGACAATGTTTTTATCAAATCCTAATGGATTACTTGATAATCCCTCAGTATCAAAATAAATGACTTCATGTTCTTTGTTATATATTTTTTTTATAAGAAATTCAATTCCTTTTGTTTGAGGTAATGAACCATGTCCTAACTCAAACCTAGATGTTTTCGTTAATGAATTTAATAGAAATGATTTTCCAGATTTTCTTGGTCCAATGACAGTAATAGGAATCAAACTATGAATTTCTTTGAGATAATCTATTGCTTCTTCAGTAATACTAAGCGTCATATTATTATAGTTTGGACGGAAAAATTGTATAGTTTTTGCTTCTACTACAATAGAAAGTAATACCAGAATTAGTAATGTATTTATCTTTAACATAAGTAAGTGTTTAATGTGTGAATATTTTGATCATTTTTAAAGAGGGTTTTTTATAAATAAAATAAAATAACAAAAAATAGTAAAAGCAATCAAATTACTCATAATTAATCTTAATTGATTAATTAGAACTCTCTTTATTTTCTTTCTCATCTTCTTCAATCTTCACTTCATTATCAAATACCTCATCTAAAATTGATTTCTTCTCAACAATATTCTTTTGTTCTTCACTCTTTTCTTTTGCTATTTGTTTAGAACGAGCAGCAGATAATTGAGCTTCACGACGTTCCATAGAACGAATAACATTAGGAGAAACATATTTTTCATTTAAATAAACAACTGACCCACTAAAGCAACCAGAAAGTATTTTGATACATCTCATACAGTATCTTGGACCAATTTCAACAAGTGATAACTTTTCATTACCACTTCCATCAACAATTTGATAATTTCTCATCCAAATACGATCATCAACAATAGAGAATTGTAATATATGGTCAATAAATGGCTTTGACTTTGGATAATTTTGTTCTACATGGAATATTTTTGATATTATTTCTTTTATAATTTTATTTTCATTACTTGAGTCAAATTCAGCACCAAAACTAATAATGGGTCTTGAACCTTTTAAAGCATTTCCTGTTAATTTTAAATTAGACATAGTAGTAATATTTTCTACAAAAAACTTAATAGAAGGTCCATGTGGTGCACAACAAAACCATAAATATAAATCAGTATGTTTTCTGTTTTCGAAGAAAATGCATGTATCACAATTTCTTAAATCACATATTTCCGCAATTTCATGAAAATGTCTTTTATCATCAAATTTTGGTTCTTTTTTATTATGTGGAATCATTGAAATAAGGTCTTGCATTAAATATCTTTGCTTTGCTGATACTCCACGTGATGCTAAAATCAAACACCTTGACCATGGGGCTTTTGGCTTTACGTCTGTTTCATTATCTTTTCTTTGTTCTCGTTCTATTCTTTTGAGCATAGTTTATTGATTATATTAGTTTTTTTTTTTAATAAAAGGGTTTTATTGTTTTCTTTTCTTTTTTTTTTATTTACTTATGAATTAAAAAGATATCATTATTTTATTATTCAAATTTAATTAAAAAATATCTTGAGATTGTTTGACTGGTATTAAAGACTCTCTTTCTTCATGATGATTTCTTGCAAAAGAATTGTTTCATAATATAATGAAATGTTTTATTTAATAATAGTGATACAGGAGCATACTTTTGCTAATTAAACATATCTAATTCTTGATAAATAGTTTTTAACTGAAAAGATATTTATAGAATAATAGATATTACTCTTTATTAGTATTACCCTTCAATGAAAAGAGTTATTCTTTATTGAAAGTTCTTTACTTTTCCATGGCTTTTTTTTTGAGGATGTACTTTATTTTTTTAGTTATTAGTTTTGCTTAGAGAAGTATAATTGAATATGTTCATTTTTAATTTGTCAAAACCTTATAGTAATTTGAAAACTTTTGGTTTTGAGTTTTTATTTGAATTTGTTAGTTGCTTTGCTTTATAAATTGAAGCATTTTATTTTGATATTTAAAGAATAAACGAAACAATAAAATATACCTTTAGATACAAAAGTTCTTCTCAACCAAAAAAAGTTTAGAGAAAACATAGAAATAAAAAGGTTATTTATGTGCATAAATACTATAGACATTATAAAGAATTTAATATGTAAGATATCTTTTATTTAAAGACTTAAATTTGTGGTTTTTAGTAACATGAAGAGTTGAATTATTTTTAAAAAATAGAACAAATAAAAAATTTATGAATAAAATGTTATATTTATATAAGTAATTAATAATTATCTTATATACAGTTTATTTCAAATAATTGATATAATAAAATAATAATATCATTGATTGAAATATTAAATAATATAGAATAAAATAGTTAATATAAAAAAGTTGTTTTATATAAGAATTTAAGAATCATAATTATTCAATTAATGATATTTAATAGTTACTCTATCAGTGTTTTAAAAAAGAATATTTCTAAGATTATCTTTGATTTATTACTGCATTAGAATTTTTATAATATCTTTTTTGAAATTTATTTCAACAAAAACTTTAAACATTAGTTTAATTTATAATATTCTTAACATAGTTATAAGGGGTGTTTAGTTTCAATACAAAAATTTATGAGTAAAAAAATTTAAATAAAAAAGAGAGTTGAAACAGAATGATTTTGAGTGTTTAAGAATAAAATTATTTTTAAATAAGTTGTTCACTAAGATAATTTCATAGTGTTGTATGGTTGTGTCATAAGATAGAGTAGTCCATTCAACAATAGCTTTTTTATTTTTGGAGTAAATGTAATAGTCACTTTATAGATGAAACAAAGATATTAATATTGAAAAGATAATAGATGTTATTTATAAACAAAATTCTCATTGTATTTTTGTTTGAAGATATAACAAAAATATAACACAATATTATAGAGGTTATCAAGGAGATTCTTTGTTTTGCTCTATTAATAAAAGTAATGCTATTATTAAATGAATAATAAGCTTCTTGCTAAAAAAAGAAGAAGAAATAACGAAAACCATTGTCAGTCAGTTGATAAGATCTAAGACATAAAAAAATATAATTCGAATAATTAAATTTATTAAGTCTTACTAAATTTCCTTCGTTATATAAAACAAAAATAAAGTACTTACAACACCAGTAACAATTAGCAGAATTAATAAACAAGAACTTCAAAATTTAATCAAGTCTGAAATTAGAAACAGATAAAAATATCTTTTTTAATGATTCTTCCTAAAATAGCAAATCAGCAAAGAGATATAATTGAATAGATAATGAATATATTATGACCAAATGAACGGGAAAGACACAGAGATTAATAAACAATCTCTTTCGTTAGGAAAAAACTAAAAAAAGAAAGAAATCTAAAAGAAGAATCAAAGAAATAGAAGGAGGAATAGTAAAAACAACAAAAGAAAAGGAGAATAAACAAATATAACGTTCATCTAACAATGCGTAAAATAAAAAAGAAAAATAGAAAGATAAAAATAGAAAAAGAAAGAAGGGTATTTTAAGACACATCAAAAAACTAAGAAAAACAAGAATGATGCAACTTAAGATGAAAGGTTTAAAATTCCCATGTCCTCTTCATGTCCTTATTGATGGTCCTGTTGAACAAAGTGAAACTAAAATGATTTTTGAAATGGTTTGTAAACAAGAATTATATGATAAAACAATTCATTCAGTTTGGTTATACTTAGAAAGTGGAAAAACAGCTGTAGAAGAAACATTAAAGAATCATGAATTCTTAAATATTTTACATAAGAATATATTAATTGAATCACCATCATTAGAAAGCACAATGGGAGTATTATCAATTTTAACAAGAAATGATCCTGTTACTTTTCTTTTAATGGGAAGTTATAAATTAATAATCAAATTATTTCAATATAGATTAAAAAATTCAGTATATATGATGGCATTAGACTGTTTATATTCTTTAATATCAACTCATTCTTCTGAATTGATATTAAAATTACTTGAAGAAAATGATTTATTATTTATTATTCTTAATGGTATTTCTAAAGAAAATGATAAAGAAGAAAATGAATTATGTGCTGCTATGCTTAAAATTTCTTTAAGTTGTGAAGGAGTTAGAAGAAAATTATCAAAAGACTTACCTTATCTAAATAATTTTTTAGCACATTTAAATTATATTTATCAAAGTATATTAGTTGGTATGAATAATCATATTTTATTAATTTGTCTTTGTGAATGTATTGAATACCTCACTTGGGACTCATCTATTAAATTTATTATAGAGTCTTATTATAGTGGTTTATTACAGTAGAATAATTATTTATCATTTGTATATTGCTATTTTCATCTCTTATTCATTTATTTTTATTATGTTATTTTTATTTTAAGTTCTTTCCCCTAATTTTTCTTAATAGTAGGTTTCTTTTGTTTTTAAACTTTTTTTTCATTTAAAGTATAGCATTAATTGAAACATGTATAATTCTTTTGTTATCCATGTATCCAGAATATGCAAGACATTTGATTCTCTTTAGTTCTTGATTGTATGTATTCATTACGTTCAGTTGTAAAGAAGTCATATATTTTTATTAGTTCTGCTAACGAGTAGTTGTTGGATGTTGTTTGTTATGTTAATTGAAAATAACCTTTTCTGAAGTAATAGTTACATGTGATTCATTTCTTTTTTTGTTTTACCTAAAATATTCTTTTTGTGTTATTTTTGTTACTATTACTATTTATTAAAGAAAAGTATTAAACCCATAATTTTTAAAAATAAAAACAAAAATAATAAATTAGTAAATTAAAACATTTATTTTAGAATTACCACTTTCATCTCTTCATTTAGGTGAATAAGATATAAAGGGATTCAAGAAAAAAAAGAGATAAGAAAGTATCATTTTCAAAACTAAATTGATATTCATTCTACAATCTCTAATATTTTATTTTTTTGGTTATTTCTAAAAATAAATAATAAAAAGCTATCAATGATTTACAGGTGGATAATAAATCAAATGAATATTTTTTAAATGATTTAAATTGATATATCTAATCAAATTATAAATGTCATATGTTATTAAATCAACAATATCAATTCTTGGTTTAATAAGACAATTTACTGTGTTTGGATCAATCCCAAAAGCAATCATAATTTTTTGTAATGAGAGAGATGGTTTCATTTCACCTTTAAGAGATAATTTACGAAGAGTAGAATCACTAAAGTCTCTAAAAAATTCCCATTTTTGTCGAGGTAAAATATAATCAACTTTCCAATCACAATCTAATCTATTCTTATATTTATTATAAATATTGATTAATTTTAAATATCGGTAAGTATCTAAACTTATTTGATCAATATACTCTCCTCTTCCATATAATTCATATAAACTTTGAACATGTTTCCAATAATCATTTACTCTATTAACACCATCTTTTTGTTCATGAGAATCTTTCATATCTATTTTACATAATTCAACAATTTGCTTAAATAACCACATTTGATTTTGGTCATTAATACAACTAAATGCCATATCTTTTCTTGATATATTAATTGTTATTCCTTTTTTTATATAAATTACACAATTTGTTGTAAGAAGAAAACAATATAAATCATATGTTGAATTACTAAATATCATTTTAAATGGTTTTGTAACAACATTATTCATTACAGTCATTAAATATTCATTTGTCATGGCATCTTCTTTATTAAATTGAATTAAAATAAAATTACCATTACCTTCACATAATTTTGAAAAACAAATATTTTTTAAATATATTTCACCTGAATATGAACGTATTTTTGGTGGAAGAAAAGTAATAGAGGAAGGTGTTATTTGTACACAAAATATTTTTTTAGTAAAATCAATTGAAGAATCCTTTTTAGATGGAATTAATTTCATAATATCAAAAGCACGATGATATTTATTTGTTTCAATGGTATTTAATAAGAATCTAAAATGAAGATTATATTCATTAAATGAATATTTGTTTATTTCATCAATAAATTCTTGTGTAATTTGATTTGGAACAATAATATTTTCTTGTAATAGTTTTTCAATCATCCATTCCCATCCAAATTCAAATGATTTTGGAATAATATACTCTTTCATTTTCAATAATTTTGAAAATGATTGTTCATTAGATATTTTAAGGTCTGACTGAGAGATTGAACATTGTCTAATTACTTCATGAATATTTTTCCATGAACTTGGATGAAGAGAAATACAAATAACTTGTAATCTTGAAGATTCAAATGATTCCCAACAAGGAAGGATAGTATGTTGAAAATAATTTTCAATTCTCATTTGGTCATGAGTTAAATGCATAGGAGAAGTTTTTCTTAAGAAAGGAATTGACCCTTTAAATGAGATATAAACATCAATGAACTTTTCTCTTTTAGAACAAAAGATATGATTACAATTATTTTGATTGATTTCTATCATTTCTCCATATATTTCATCATAAAAAAATAGTCCCATTTCACTTTTATTTTGTAATTTTACAACAAGATGTCCAAATGGTTTAAAAGAATCTAATGGCTTTTCTAAATTTTCAACATTTATTGATTTATAACTTTGAAATATTCTTGTTGTTTCCCATTGTCCAAATTGTATGGCATAAACACAAAATTCAAATACAAAAAAACTTTGGTGCATTGGAAGAAATGGTTCTTCAAATAATTTTTCTATACGAATATAATTAATAGCTCTAAGTCTTTTATACTGAATAACTGAAAGAGTTCTTTCCTTTCTTCTTTCAATTGTATCATTTTCTTCACTTTGTTCATTTTCAATTGTATTATTTTCATTATCTTCTTCTTTTAATACATTTTCATTATCTTCTTCTTTTAATGTTTCTTCTTTGGTTGAATGAAGAAGTTTTTCTTTTTCTTTTATATAGTCACCAGTTAATTCCTCTTGACTATCATCAGAAATTTTATTGTTATTGTCTAGTTCATCTTCAATGCTAATTTCCATTTCTTTAACTTCTTGTTGTAATACTTCATTTTTATATTCTACTATCATTTGTCTAAACTCTGGACAAACTTGATGAATGTATTGAAGGTCAAAAGTTATTCTCATTGTCACTTTATTTTCTTTGTCTTTCAATTTTTGCATTCCATTCTTCATAACCTGTCCATTCATGAATAGTTCAATCTCAGTTATCTTTTTACTCTTCTTTAATTCTCCAATTTTATTCCATTTTATGTCATATACTTGTTGAAAATATTTATTAAACACTTGACGTTGTCTACTAACAGAGTAGTCCACTGGAAAAAATCCTTCTTTTTCACATTGAATATTAATTTCTTTAACTTCTTCTTCTTCAAATGACATAATTTGTAAAATAATTATTTCTTTTTTAAACTATATTTTTATTTTAATTTTACTATTTTTTATAGTTTCTTCTCAAAAGTTATTCTTTTATAATAAAAAACTATACTTTTAGAATTTATAAAACTATTTAAACTGAAAAAAAGGAACAAAAAAATAAATACAATTCTATTTCATATTACTTTGTTTTGAAGATAATAATTTCGGGAATTGTTATAATAAAATACATAGTTGTTCAAAGATATTGTTTTATAATAATATCTTTTAAGACTAAGTACAATTAATATACAATTAATTATTTTTTATAAATAATTTAAAAATTTTTGGTATTAAAAAAGATTTTTGTAAAACAAAAAAGGGTTAATATTGTTTTAATGAATTTTTTATATTAATTTTGTTTTAATATTCAATTATAATTGAAATTAGAAATATTAAGTGATTTTATTATAATATTCATTTTAGTAATTTTGATATTGTTAATAAATCTTGTAAGAGAGTAAAGTGAATGTTCAATGAGTAATTTAAAAAAATAAAAATTGTAGGATATTGTTGTTATAATTTTTTTTAAGTGATTTGCTATTAAATAAGTATTATATAATTCTAATAAATTACTATAGCACTAAGTTTGTGTTATTCATATCGAAATGATTTAGTCACTTTTCATTCTCATTATCAAAATAATAGAAAAATTGATGAATATGTAAATGAGACTAATGCCTTTACATAAAAAGATAACAAAATACCTACAATAATGGAAATGTTTTTTTTGTGAATTTTTGTTGTAAATTTTAATATACATGAAATAACAAATATTTGTAATAAATATCATTTATATATTTTTTATAGGTACTGTACTATTGTTATATGACAATAATATTAATGAAAGAATAAAAAGAATAATGACAAGAACTAAAAAAAATCAAATCCATAAAATTGATGAGTGACTATGAAATACTAAAAATGTTAATTTTAAAAAGAAATGAAGAGAATGAAATAAGAATGTTTGTAAACAACTCTTAAAATGAAAAAAAAATAATGAAGGTAGAAAATACTATACTCAATTAAAGGAAAAAAATGCTATGATAGAGCAGTTGAAAAAAGAAATAGAAGAAACAAAGAAAGATAATGTTGATGCACCGCTACATACTAACGAAGAAAAGTTAAAGGAATTAGAGGAACAAACAAGCAAACTCCAAAATACATATGACATAACTCAAAAAAGAAATGAGGAACTCGAGAAAGAAAACACTGAAATGAGAAGAATAATAGATGAACTTAACTTAAAAGAAGAAAATGACAAAAAGATAAAAGAAGAAAATATTCAAAAAGATAAAGAAATTGAAGAAATGAAACAGAAAAACAAAGAGGTAGAAGATATGATTAATAACGAGAAAGAAAAGACAAAAAGAATGGAAGAGGAAATTAACAAAATGAAAAGAATAATTGAAAAAAAAGAAATTGAAGAGAAAACTTTTAAAAGAATGAAAGAAGAAACAGAAAAGAAAATGAAAGAAGAAGTTAGTCAAAAAGAAAAAAGGATAAATGAATTAGAAAGAAAAATAGAAATATTTCAAATAGAAAACATTGAACTTGTTCAACGAAGACTAAAAGAAAAGAGGGAAATGATATGGATGAATCAAATTGTTTCAAAGAAAGAAATAAAAACAACAGAAAAGGAAGAAGAAGAAACAAGCAAGTATAAAGAAGAAGTAACAGAAGTAAGATTTATCCAATCAGTTATTCCATTTAAAGTTATTGAAAGAAAAGAAAGAGAAAATGTAGATATTATCGGAATGAAAGGAATGAATCTAATAGTTGAAAATAGAAAAGAATTCAAAATTATTGAAAGAAATGGAGAAGAAAATGAAAGGATTAGTATCGAAAAGCTCAATGGACAATATATTTGTAGTTGTTTAAGTTTAGAACAGAAAGAAATAATGTTTTGTATGAAAGAAGGTATTTATTCAAAAATTTATTTCTGTGATTTGAATAAAAAAGAAATTGAAAGCACAAACTGTTCATCTCCCGGAAGAATTATTTCTTGTACTCCATTAGATGAATATAATTATATTTTTGTTGAACAAAACAGTTATACTATTGTTAATGCCTTTAAAAAAAACTTAACAAGTTATATTTCATATTCTGCAAATAACATTATTAAATTACTTACTTATAATGGAGCCATCTATTATATTTCTGAAATAAATGATTCACAAAAATTAGTTATTGTAAAAGGTTCAAATAAAACATTTATATCCTTAGACAAAAATGTTATTTCAATGGATGTAGGATATCAATGTTTATTCCTTATTACATCGTCATCATTATATTGTTTTGATATAAACACAAAACAATTTGTTAATGAATTGTCATTAACTCATTTTAATTCTCCACGTATTATTGCTACATCTCATAACCATAGAGTGGTTGCTATCGGGTGTTGTAATGATGATATAGTATTTTGGAATGCATTTATTATGGATACAACTAAGTCAGTTAAACAATTTACTTTAAACCCTCTTCTTGTCAATTCAAAACGACCAGAAATTACAAAAATCATTTGGAATGAACAAGGAAATGCATGCTCTGTTTCTTGTGGGTTCCAAATCTTTATTGCATCCAACGACAATTAAGTGTTTTATTAATGATTTCTTTTTAAGGAAATTTCCAAAAATTCATTTAATGTATTTGTTTTTTAAAGTAATGTTCTTGTAGTATTTCATATATCATAATTTTTCATATTGAAAATCCTGACACATGAAAACAGAGTCAAGAATAAAGGAATATAAAATAAAATATCTTATTTTCCAATTGACTTATAATAACTTATTATTAATAATTTAATTTTATTTGAATCTAAAAGATTTATAAATAATATTTCATACTTCATGTAACTTGAAGAAACTTCTTTTATTTGTTTTGGTACATCAAATAAGTATCAAATTATATAGCATAGCTTTCTCATTTTTCTTTTTTTGTATTATTTGTTATATTTTTGACTTTGAGTTATTCTTTGTTAATTTAAAGAAGTTGTTCAATGTTTTTATACTTATCTATGTTATAAACAACATTTTTGGTGTGAATTAAATTATTTAATGTATGAATGTTTTATTGTTTATTTATTTAAATCCTCTGTTTAAAGTTAATATCATAAACAAGTTATTATAAATACTATAAAGTTATCAAGTATTTTATTTTTATGATAACTAGTATTGTTTTATTTTCATTAAACATAATTTTTCCTATCATTATTTTTTTAATGACTTTATTCTTTATATATTATTTTGAATATTTATCATTTATGTCATTTGTTCTTCTATTTTATAATTTTTTAAATAATTAGTGTTTTGTTTGATTGATATTTGATATTTTATCAATGTATTTTTGTTTAGTACTATGTAAAGAAATAAATAAAAGAAAAACATAAAACAATATCATTATACCTTTGATTATTTTGACTAACATTTTTCAACATATACAACGCTATAACATTGATATTAGTTGTATTTTGAATTAAGGTAATCTTTAGATTCAAAACTTTGTTACCAAATGGTAACCAATAATAAACCATAATTAATTTTTATTTTATGCATCAAACCATTTATCTGTGTTTGAATTAAATAATTATAATACATAAAATAATTTTATCTAATTTGTATTATTTAAGAATAGTTTATATTGATTATTTTGTTAATTTATTTATTTTATTTGTATTTTATTTGTTTTTGATTAGATATTATTTGAATTATTTATTATATTATATTTTGATATGTTTATATATTTTCTTATTTTATTTATTCTTTTTTACATATTCTTCATAATTTATTGATATTTTATTATTCATTATTTATGAAATTATTATATTTTGTTTGTTTGATATTT